GACGACGAACTCTGTCTCGCGCGCGGCCGAGAGAAGCATAAATACAGGTCACGTGCGAGCTTGTGGTCACGCGTGTTTTTTGCCCCACGCACACACATACGTATGTCTGTTATTTCCACCGATCGCACGGGGGCTGAGCTGGCTACCTGCGCCGCGCATACCTTTCTTTCCGTGACGCCCGCCACACACCACCGATTATGTTTAGTAGCGATAATTGTTACGAAATCACTGTTTATGGAACCTTAGACCTGCGCGAGTGTGTACGCACACTTGCTGCTGTCTCTCACGTGTCTTCTCTTTCACTTTTTATTTTGCTTCTTTTGCGCCGCGGCGGCGAAACGTTTCTCTCGAAAAGAGGGATAAATGGCGTTCTTTTCGTGCGCTACCATCGCGGAAATTATATATATCGGGGTATTAGAACTTAGTTTATTAAAATGCAATTTGCCAGGCATTTGCCGATAGTCTAGTGATACTAATAAGAGGCCATAAATCTTGAGCGAGAAAAAGAAAAAAAGAAAAAACAACGACGAACTCAGAGTCACATTATGTTTTATGAGCACAGACGTTGATTAATAACTTATGCAATTAATTTAAAGTCGTTGCTCCATCAATCATCGCCTGGTTATTGGTGATTAATAAAGATCGGTATAACGCGATAAGTTGATGCCGAAGCCGCGCACGAGATATATTATTGTATATCGACGAGAGAAGAAAAACATCGAGTGTTTGCGCGAAACGCACTTGCAAATTGAAAGCGCCACTTGCGTCTCGGGCATCCCCGCATAAATACGCAGCGGCCCGTACGTTCATTCACGTTTCTCATGGTGGGATCATTCATTCGAAAGCCGACCGAGGGGGAAAGGCCCGAGTTACGTGAGCCTTGCCCGTGCATATTTTCGCATACACCAAAGTCGTCGTATTAGATGATTGCAGGATTCATTTTCGGCGAGGTCGGGGCACACGCGAAGGTCCATCTCTCTCTCTCTCTCTCTCTCTCTCTCTCTCTCTCTTTCTCTCTCCCTCGACCGCCTGAAAAAAAAGGAAGCCGGTGGGAATGCCGCGGATGCAAATTATCCTTTGCGCGCTCACACAAGCGTCGCTTAACGGAACGCGATTGCTCCCTCATCAGAAGCATCCACTTTAACATTTGTTCTCTTCGAGCAGTATGAGCAAAGGGAGATGAGGAAAAAAAAGTCGGTAGAAAGAGATATGTATGCTGCCGAGCTGTAATCGACCGCTCTAATGAGTGCGTGGTCGTAGGGGGGTATAGGTATACCAGTACTAAACTCGAAAGAAGGCGAAACGTGGGTTCACGTTGTAATTTAGTTGAGATGTGACTGCTTTGTCTCTGAAATAGATGAAGCACCTTTGCCTTTCGAGAAGTTGGCGCGCGGTTGTTCGAAGCAAGATTCGATTGGATTGCATCGATCCGGATGAATAAGGAACGATCGATCAAAATATTCTTTACGCGACAGTTGCGTTGATATTTGCATAAAGTATGAGAAAAATTACACATTCATAGATAACATGAACAAATGGTTATTGAGTGAGTTTTGAGCGGCTAACGACTTTGCATTACGATTTTGATGATCCCAGATACATTTATCAGTAGATGATAAAACGCACGTCCTCTGTCAACGTCGAGTGCACGCTAAACGAATAAACGAATTGGCTGGTTGAAACATCACTGCCTACAACATCATCGACGTGCAGAGCTAGCATGCCAAAATATGTAATGTGCAAAAGCAATATTGACTCGCCGTAGTCCATCGACGAGAGCAGGCATCGCGTGTGCTTAGGCGCAGCGCGCTGTATGGAATACATCGCTCAGACTCAAGTGAAATCCCCCGAAAAGGACGAAGGGTGACGTTGTGTTCTTCTCATTCGCTACTCTCGCGGGCGAGCATGTGCCTTTCTCCGTAATGGCAACAGCGGCAGCGACGGCAGCGGCGGCAGCAGCAGCAGCAGCAGCAGCAGCAGCAGCGCCGGCAACATATTGACTCGCGCGCATACGTAATACCGCCACTGTCCGGCTTACGAGGGTATTAACGTCATGTGTCAAACGTCGACTAGGGCATCTCTCTGCTACTCGCTGCACGCTTCGCTCACTGGCCCGTGAAAGTAGACGTACGCATAGCGAATATACTCCTGATGCTGGCATGTCATCGATTTTTCTTTCTCTCCTCTCGACTCCTTATATTGTTCGACGTCTTGCCAACATGCCTCATAATATAATAGCCTTTTTCCGAGGATACACGCGCGATAATGTCTAGCTACAGCATACCTGTTACGCATATAATTTTCGTGAAAATGATGCGGCGGGTAAGAAGCATTGAAAATTACTCCGAGACGCAACAAAAAGAAAGTTTTTTGAGTGTCGAACGGTAACTCCAAGATCGGCTGAGAGACTGGCAGGCAGTGCATACGTAGCTACGTCCGCGGACGGTAAAAGCATCCCGAGCGTGCAGTGGACATTAAAAAGCAGCGGATTACAGAGTGAGAGACGCGCGCGCGCGCGCGGTCGCCAGTAACAAAGCTATGCCTCTCGACAATTCATCTCTATCCTCTCTCTCTCTCTCTCTCTCTTTCTCTCGTCGGGGACTAATCACCGCTTAGGGGGCTCGTAAATCGCGCCCGCGCCTTGTATATGTATATACACGTATACCGAGGAGAGAGAGAGAAAAAATACGTTGCTTCCCGCGAGCGCGAGGTGCGAGTTTACGCAACGTTAAACCGCGAGACTTGCAGAAATCGTAAAACTCGCGCTGCTGGCTGCTGCGAAAGCGCCGTCACCGAGCGATTCTTTCTCTCCTCGAGTCCTTCGGTTTTTCTCCTTGCGCGTCTTCGCGAAAAGCATGCTTTACTACCGCGTGGCGAAGCTTCTTTGTGTCTCTTTATGGTCTGAAAGTGGCCGAAGCCCTCGCGGTGAAAACGACTGTGTCCGATGATGACGATGACGACGACCAGTCCGAGAGAGAGAGAGAGGTATCCCTCAACTTGTAATCATCCGAGGTTCCGTGGCGAAAGCCAACTTCCAGTAACTCGAGCGAGTGCGAGCGCTTATGTATTCTTTTCCGAGGGGGAGACAGTTACGGGATTCGTAAAAACTAACTTTGCTGCGCAATTCGTGATTTTTATCAATTTCATTTTCTCCCTTTTTCTTCAAATACATTTCTGCAGGAAATGTCCAGTTTCTTCACTTTCATATTTACGCTCAGTCGTTATGTAAATTGCGCACAAGATTATGACAAAGCAAATTGACTTATTTCGTCTTATGAATATTTAAACAATATAAACCAAGGTTTTTGAAAGAGCTCTTCTGATAATCTAATCAATGTACACGAATGCAAGTTACATCTACAAATTCACTTTTCAAAACCTTTGTTAAAGTCTAATTTAGGATTAGATTATTCAAGGATTTTGTCCGAAATACTTGATAAAATTGTTGTACATTTTACAAAGAATAGGACAATTTAATGCCATTCAATGAAACTTAAAAAAAATAGGCTTATCATCGAATAATCAGCAACCAAATGAATTTTCACAGTACACTGCTGCACGCACCCTCTACGATATAAAAAAAAAGAGGGAAGCAAGCGCGCAACATTGTCTTGGCGTGCGATTCAACGAGCGGTCGCGTTATTTTTTTTACGCCCGCCGCATACAGGAAAGACGCATTACCAGATTGGCTGTTGCGCTCGCTCGCACGCGGCATAGCGCAGGCGGTTAGTATTCAGCGGGTCTTTTACATTCATGAAGCTTTTACACGGTTGATTTGACTAGCCAGCGAGTTGTGGCTTTCGATTTGATTTGCATTGATTGGAGTGCCGCTGCTCGTTTGCTATTGCTGCGTGGCGATTTTTTAAAGCTACCCTCCCCCATCCTTCCCCCTCCTAAGAGCGAATTTTACTCTCGCGGTCGTGCGGATAAAATTGCTAGAGTAGGGCAGGCTATGCAGGTAGATGCGCACCAGTTGAGTATATTGGAATTGTAAACTTGATTGCATCGTTCTGGCCGTTTAGTGTCGCGATATTTTTGGGGATGCGCTTTCGTTTCTTATTATTAGTTTGGCGATATTTTTTGAAAATATTTTGATCGCGCACCTATCTGCTTAATAACGACAGCAATACTTTAATAAATAATCTTCTTCTGGAGAAGTTTACTTTTAAAAAAGATGCGAAAGGCCTTCTCACCGGCAGCTAAATCGAGCTCGCGAATCAATTACTCATGTGTTGACAGCGATCCCACGATAAATAATTCACCTTGCGCGTGTCAAACTTTTTCTCTTGAGCCGAAAAAAGGAGATGCTCAAAGTCCATTGAATCCTCGACGTCGCGTGAGAAAGTATCTGCGAAGTGCTCTCGCCGCCAAAATATTTGTTCAACACGCAGCCGCGAGAGATCATCAATAAAAATCATAAAGTCGTTAATGGAAACATTCAGGTGTAGGGACGCTTGCGCGACAAAGGCGAGCTCGGGGAATCCCGTGCGTCCGCACTTTTCCATTTTGATTGTGCGCACGCGTGTAATCGAGTAGTCGGGCGAGAGTGGCTGGATATGTACACTTCTTCGGAGGTAGATCAAATTGTCGAGGGATGATCGTTGGATTCTTGCTTCGCGAAGGGCATGAAATGTAGCTACGTCAGGCAACACCTGGCTGATCTTTCAATACATATATTCAAGAATGAGAGTGGAGTCGTAACGCCAGTGACGTCGGCTGGAAGAGATACACTTGGATGTGTTACTTCTTATTCATGCTCAACGGGTCAGTGGGAAGTGGATCGAGAAATATTTATGGCCTCGTATCTTTCTAGTGATACTTCGTGTTTTACGTAGATAGCAAGTGTTCCTCTTTTCCAAACGTGTGCGGAAGGAAGTTAAACATTATCAAGAAACTTTTATATGACTTTTCTAAATGAACAATTGTAGAGCTCGTGCATGGAAATGTTCAAGAAAAGTATGGCAATTTGAATTAGAACGTTTTAAGATATCAAAAGTTTATTACTTGGCCAATGGCTTTCCAACGCAAGAAACGCCGTCCCTCTTTTGACGAAGTTCGAGTAACTCTTCGTAATGTGTCAGCAGCTTTCTGACAATAGCCGATCGTTGCGCGGCCATTTTAACAACTTTCTCGCGAAAATTCCTCTGTCTCGCTTCACCTTCGACATCTCTTTTCAATTCCATGTCGCATCTGTCCACATTCAATTTCACCACCCTTCTGTCCAATTTCTTATTTTTCTTTCGAATTTTCACGATTTCCTCGTAAACGTCATCGAGCTTGGTTTCCCAGTCTCTCAGGATCTGAATTAAATTCAAGTTTCGTTTGAAATTTCGTACATCGACCACGTCCAAATACAAATTACCTTTTCTTGTCCGCGCCGAGTTATGTTTAACTCTTTCTCTATTCTCTGTGGGGTCTTGTCATCCTTCTGACCCTTTGCTGCTCTCCTCAAAAACTCTCTGATCTCCCTCGTCACGTTAGCCATCCTAATAAAGTACAAATCTTCTCCAAGATGTTTAACGTTTGCTTTAAGACACTCATGACCCCATCGCTCCACCATGATACTCTTTCTAAGCTTCAAACTTCTCACGATCGTTCGTATCTTCTTCCTTCCCGCTATCAAAATCGCCTCGTTCACTCTATCCAAATCGGATCTTGGTACGACAACTGCATTCTTCCAATCGTCCGTGATGCTACCCATAATCGTGCCAATTTCCGATTGACCCATTTTCAGCACCAACTGCACCTCCGTATTGAGTTCACGCTCGTTTCTATCCTTGCGCGCTTTTTTCAGCTCTCGATTCATCGAGTCGATGTTGATACGTTGCTCGATAAGATTTCGATGGCACTCATCCAGGGCTGCAGCCGCCAATGCCCGTTCCATCGACAACGCGTGCTGCCTCAATTCGTGATCGATCTGTACGCGCGCGCGATAAAGCAAGATGTGCCATTTACTTTCGGATTGACGATTGCCACGTGTGTGAGCGTGTGTCTGCGTGCGTGTACTTTCTTTTCGTGAGGGTTCGTGGATAGGATAACCGAATGGAGCAGTACGAATATACAACAATTTTACCGAATAATCATGAGTCGAATGTATATTTTTTTGAGAGATATGAGTGTGTAAGTGATTCCACGATTTCAAGTGAAATGTAAGCTGTTAGAGGTTACGTACCTTCAATCGTCTAAGAGCCACTAAATTCTCCCAATGCGAATCTTCAATCGACTGCGGAAGATTCGCGGGTCGTATTTCCAGCCCTTCGAGTTGCTTTAAATAATCCATACATTCGAATGTCAAGTAGGGTGGCTTCTCGACGGTTTTAATCGCTTTGGTAAGATCTAAAACTTCAGCTGGTGAAGTGGTTTTCAGAAAGTACTTGGGTCGCTTTTTAAATTGCATCACTATCGCAGCGTAAGCATTTTTGTTAAGCGAAGGAAATTCATTCTTCAATTTCTTCTCCATGTACTTGTCCTTGGTGATGAGAGTATCGTATTTTTGACGTAACTCTTCTTCGGCAGCCCGAATTACTTTTATTTTCTCGTTGATACCTGATATCAAATTATATGAGTGCTCGATTGTTTGTTTTGTATCGTCGTCGGCTTTCATTTCCATCAGGCGATTGACGTGCTCGACGGTGTATCGCAAGTACCGTAAGTTTAGCTGCTGTATCGCCACTTCAACTTTTATTTTTAACTGTGAATAAATAAAAAGCAATGATTAGCTATAATTACAATGAAAATACGTTTAGAATGCTCACCAAACGAAACTCTTCGAGTCTAGAGTTAAACTTCTCGATTGACTCCCGAAGTTCGTTAGTTGTCTTGACCAATTCCATGTGTAAAAGTCTTCTGTAACGTTCACGCTCAGCCTCGAGGTTTTTAAGTTCTTCCTCGTAACGTTTGATAGCAAAATTTTCCTCGTCGGTGTAAGTTTCAGGATCTCTGTCGGAGAGCATGCATTCAGGCTTAGGTGGATCGCGTTTGATACTGTCCTCCCATCGCACTTCCAATTTGCCGTCCATCATTTTCTGCAATTCCCGCTCCCGAAAATCATTAGCGAGCATCTCCAATCTTCTGTGCTCTTCTTCTGCTGCCTATGCGATAACAGCACGCAATGCAATTCAATATTGAACGTAAAAATGTCATGTAATATAACTTTACTTTTCCATCCAATAATTCTTGTCGCGACGGTGATATATAAGGTTTGGCTGACATTTCCGAATCTCTCACTTCAATAATTGACTTCGGGTGTTCTTTTGGATTCCATTCGGGATAAACGAAGTTCTCCGAAATCAATTCGTTAAACATCGTGTAAAGTTCGGAGGTTATGTGAATAATACGATCGATGCGTTCGCGTACTAGATTCATTTCGCGCTCTTTCAATGAGTACATCTCGTTGAATCGCTCGTTAAAAAAAAGACGCAACAGCATGCAGTCTTGCGCGATGTTGTACGAGTCGTATGTGATTTGAGTAAATGCATAAATTTCAAATTGTGAGTAGTAGTTGCCGGATGGCTCGATAAACTCGCGAGCTGTCAGACCTGCGAAATAATAGATATGTAGAATTATTTTTGAAAACAATATTAATGTTTAATGTTACCTTCTAATAAATATTTGTTTCTTTCTTCTTCTTCGTCAACTTCTGCTTCTTCGTCGATCGCAAGAAGTTGTCCGATATCTTCTTCTTCAAAGATGTTTCTCAATTGAATACTGTTCATTTTGCTCCTTCTTTTCTCGTTGCCTTCCCACGGATAAATAGTCTCCGTATGCATCAACTGCTTTGTAACATTGCGAGCAAATTGGACATATTTAAAGTCGTCCGACGCTGATGCTTCGAATTTTTCTACTGGTATCGCGTAATTTGTCACTTCGATGTTGTCGAATATACCACAAACTGATTGTGCTAAGACTTGCTGTGAATTCCAATAATTATTTTGTATCCAATCTGATATTCGTTCCAATTCGGAACAATTCGCTTCTACTTCACGGCACACTTCTTCGCGCTCGTCCTTTGCCGTTTTCATTCTCTTTTCTCGATGCATTTTATTCAAAGCGAATTGGGATATCGGCAGTTTTTCGTAATCGGAGCTTTTTTCATTTTTATCCAATAGCTCGACCAATTGATTTTTGACAATGTGAAATTTCGAATTCAATTGTTCTTTTTGTCGCGAAAATTTCTTTTTTTCTTCTTCAATGAGCTGCTGTTCTCGCCATTCGATCCAAGTCAAATTGTGATAATTTTCATTGCTCGCATAAGTTTCCATTGCGATATTGAAAAATTTGATTACTTTTTCATCAAATACTTTTTTATATTCGATAACTCTACCGTCGTGATCTTGAATATTCATAACACCAAATTGTAATAAATGTATAAATCTGTCATCTAATGGAATCTCATTGACATTTGAACGACAAACAGCGACCAAAGATCCGTCAGCACCAAGTGCAATTACTGTGTCGCCCGTCGAGTTAACAACAGATGTCGTAACACCGAAATCATACTTATGATGTGTCATAAAATGTAAATTCTTGTGATTTTTCATGTTTATATCTCTGACGGTAATTGATCCGTCAAGGCTACAAGTAACAAGCCATTTTTTATCCGTAAACACTTTAATGCATCTGAGATTATGACCGCTTGACACGATCTCGCTGCATGTAATAATTTTCCAATCGGTTATTTTATAAAATCTCAAATGCTTTGTCAAATAAGGCGAACCTAAGAAGCTACTATTATCTCTGTATGTGTAATATAAATCAGAATGAAATTCATTAAAGTAAAAAGCATTTTGTGCTTTTGTAAATTGACGCTGACCACTAGCAAGCGTATATAATAAAAGCTTATGCCCAATTGGTACGATGCTCGATGATTTGATAAGTATATAAAGCTTTAGGTTGTCTTGTACGTCAAATAAAATAATGTCGGCTATTCTCGCGTTTGCGTCAAGTTGCGTAACGACGTCGATCGGGCGATTGGCAAATATTGACAAAATATAACATATTCCAGATTCTCTTTGTCCGACAATCAAATAACTAAAAGAACGTTAAAACATCTTAAAATTAAAAATCTTCGTAATCTCGACTTTATTAGATAAGTAATTCTTACCCATGGTAAAACAAACCTTCCTGTGCTTGAAAATTTCATAAAATCCAATCCCTCCGAATGCAATTTATACTTGACCAAAGTCATTGGCTTATGATACTGAAGCAAACTTACAAACAATACTTCTCCTTTGTCAGAGCACACGACGACAATGGGATAATCGAGATGCGACAACATTTTGTTTGGCTTTCCTTCAACATCTAGAGCTATATTCATAACGGTCGCACCAGTACGAGCTTCAATAAGTTCCAACGCCAAAGACGCATCGATCGCAACGATATGATCACCCCAAGGACGAATAAAATCAACAAAACTATAAATTCCTCCATTGAAGTGTTTCTCCTCTATGATAGGTTGCACGGTATTCTCCGAGAATTTAATCTGATTTACATGACCTTCTTTGCTCGCGAAGAACAGTCGATCGTGTCGGTGAGGATACGAAGTCAGAACGGTAGGCCAACAGTAATTTTTAACGAACCAAACTTTGCGCCAAAAATCCGAACTGTCTTTTCGGTAATATCGAATCTGGCAAAAGGTTGTTCGCAATATAATGCCACCTTGGTACCAACAAAGTGCCGCCGGTTCAATTTCTACGCAAACACCGCAGCGTTGCGATAGCACGATGCGGCTCAGGTCAGTGCCGGTTGGATTCGTTAGGTAGATATGCCCGTCTTGATCGGCGATGGCGAGTAAATCGTTTTTGTCAGGACACCAAGATACATCTTTGACTAAGGCCCTTTTTGGCATTTTAATTTCAGTTTTAGCGAAAATTGCTGTCGTACTGATCAAAGTCATCTCCCAGATCAAAAGTCTACCGGAAGTGTTGCCAATCTAAAAACACGCACGCGTTATACTTGAGTCTACAAAGGGAACTAAAATTATAACTGAACTTACTTGCGCAGCATACAATGGCATTGAAATACTTAACCGCAAAGTTTGCCCATCATCCCCAGCATCAGGCAAACCAGTTTCGATATCGTTCATTTTCATCCCACTTCTCCATGACCATACTGTCAACTTAAAATCCGGCATCGAACCTAACGACACCAAATAATCCCCAGTGATAGCAGTCCTCAAATAAACATTACTCGTTCCATCGACACATTCGCTCAATCTCAGCATCGAAGGATAAGCGTGCACAATAATCTTCGGTTCGCGATTTTTTTCGGCGAACGCGAAAACCCGTCGACTGGAAAAAGCAAAGTAATTATAACCTGCTGGTTCACGTGCAACAAATTTTACAGGCGTATGCACCTCAAGTGGCCAGACAAGCACGTGATACCAGCCATAGTGACGTCGCTTGCAAACTTTGACAAGCGCACTTTGTTGGCAGCTACGTCGAAGAAGACGATATGAAGTCCTGAACACCATGCAAGCGTGTCCTGACCGATCCACACGAGGTCGGCTATTTTGCCGCCACGTACCCATGCCGTTTGCCAATTTTCTTCCGCCGTCGTACTCATCAATAGCACATAATTAACTTTTTATATACTCGACAACAGTTGGCAAAACAACAGTGTTGAATATTAAGGTTAAACGTGATTGATTGATTGTGATGCTTTACTTTCCGTGACAGAGTGAAGTTGGTTTTGATCAAACAACTGTGTTACCAAATCATGTAGTTCAATAGGAACAAAGAACACTAAAAAGAGACTTCGGTAGAATATTCGCGTGCTAAATAACGAAGGCATAATAACGTGTAATAAGGCAACAACATTCGCAATTTGTTAGACAGAACATGCACACGCAAGTGCAAAAAGGCCAACAAACTTTGCGTCGAATGGAAGCTGGATTCTATGTGTTATTGTTCTTGTGATTTATATAGCTGTTTTTTTGTCTGGAAATTTAGACATATAAGCAAGAGTCAATATTTTTTTGATTTTTAGAGATCGAAGTAGTATCGAATCAAATAATTTATCTTTTTATTTTTTTCCTTACTCTTATTGGATAGAAAAGAAAGAAAAAATGGACATATAAAATGTATAGAAAATGAAAGAGATAGGAATGACGTAGAAAATAAATTAATTGGAGTAACGATAAAGGATAAACATAATACTGAAATTAAAAATAGCATGGTACAATTATAGACCAACGTAAAAATATTTTATGAATCGAGGGCATTTTTGAAGAAAATTAGTTAAAAAATTAGATGGTTTAAATATAAACTTCAAAAATGGTAGCGTACATTCAGACTGTCAGTTTACTATACCATCTTTAAAGTTTTTATTCAAGTCATTGAAAAATGGAATAAAAACGTTCTTTAAGATTTATATCTAGGATAAACTCATACCACATGATCAATATCTTCAATTAACATTAATACAGGCAGGGCAAAATTCGTTATTGTAATCAAATTTTTCTGAATAAACTACAACCTAAATTATAATGATTAGATCTAAATCTGGTAATTGTGGAAATGTGAAATCTGGAAAGATTGCGAGTATTATATCACGGTTTTTATCTATGTGAATAAAAATTATTACAATAAAAAAACACTAGTATCAAATATAAGGTTCTGTAAAAAACTTTTTTAATTTATCACAAGATTTTGAAATATTAACCACAAGATCTGAGAAAGCAATAGACCCTTCATAAGGAATCGCTTTTTTCTCGCTTCATTGCTAGGAAAATCTACAAGTTTATTGATTTTTGAGTATTATGAATTAATTCGATTTCTAGTTCAACGATTATTTATAATTTATCATTAAATAATATATCTGGAAAGATATCCTAAGGTATTTTGGTGTATAAATTGGAAAAACTTTGTAAGTCTGCAGCAGAAATTATGTCAATTTTATCACTGACACGAGCTCGAGATCTATCATTTAATAATTTCAATTCGAGTCAATTACTTAATCATAAAGTTTAATTCCAAGAGTCAATTCCAAAAATCAATTTTCTGTAAAAAAAATTCCATAACTTGTTATCAAACTTGAGTTCGAGTGTAGAGAAATTTTTCTGTAAAATGCTATATCATAAATTGCAATTTCTGTTAATCTATGGATAGTTTGGATTTGTAATATGATATTTTTATTTACAAGTGACACAGTAAAGATCTTTATTGAAATTGGAATAGTGTATAAGTAGGCTATGATTATTTTCTCCAGAATATTCACAAAGTATTTGAGTGTTGCAAGATGATTTTGAGTATCTAAATTTAAAACAATTAAAAAGTTATTTTGAGTTTTCTTGATAACTGCTAATTTTATATTTGATTAAATTTAAAACTAATTGTTTAGTGTATATTTAGAGTTTATAATAAAAAGAATAGTTTTAAATTTAATTGTTTAAAGCGTCTGGGTAGTAACATTTTTCGAGTGAATCCAAGTTCTCAAATTTTAGCAAAGAAATATGAGTTGGAAACGTTTCAACAAAGACTTTGTTTTTTTGAAAATAGTCAGCAAAATTAGATTACTTAGACATTGAACTAGAAACTGAAAACGTTTTATCAAAATTATTATCTACGCCGCTATAAAATTGATTTCCATCTTTATTGTCTGTTTCATTCACATATTGATTACTGAAATTTTCTAAAAGATCATTATCGTTTGATATATCCATATTAAAGCTGTTATTATTTCTATTTTCAATTTCTTAAGGATTCATTGTACTTTTTACCGTCATAACGATTTTTTTATTAATATTAGAAATATTACATAAACCCATTCAAGCGTTTATTCAATATATGCGTTTTCCTCTGTCTTGTAAAGTCTCATCGATATTAGAGGTAGACAGAATAATAAAAGAAAAATTATATGTAGGGGACCTCTGACATATTTATCGTAATGAGAGCGTGAAAGTGGGTTAACTATAACAAATTATACTTGATACGGAATGAATAAAGAAAAGAGAAATAAAGAAACAAGAAAAATAGAAGTCTATAAAAAAGAATAAAATTAAGAAAAATTGAACTATTAACTTAACTAAAACATTATTCAAGAGAATTTTTGCATTTTATAAATAAAATCAGTTAGTAATATTAAGTACTGAACCCATACAAGTCAATGAAGTTTTCATCGGTGAAGTTTCATCGGATTTGACGCATAGCTTTCCATGTCTGTGTTTAATTCAATAGTACTTTCTATCAATTTTTATATTATCTTTTATCAAATGAAAACTCATTCCTCTTATTAAATATAATTAACTTTTTTAAACATTTTTAACGGTATAATAATAATCACCTTGACCAATGCCATTTATAGTAAATGTTAAGAAATCTTCTAAAAGTGACATTTTCTATTTTAGTTATAGGAATAAAAGTGTAATACTGCTCAAGTCAATTTCCAACTGGAAAAACTACGTATCTTGGATAATAGGACTCTTCAGGGTTTAAAAGTGGCAGAGAAGTACTACGAGCAAATAAGCACAGCGAGAATAACAGATAAAACACTAAAATCCAGAACTTTAAGCAACAAGAACAACAGCAACTTTTACATGATATACATAATCAGAAAATGATTACTGATAGTCAATACAAAATACAATTATTGAAGATGAAAGCTCCTATTGTTCAACCATCACTCCTCTTGTTACAGCAGCATCCACAGCAGATACTTCAACTAGGATTGATGGTATAGTTACAACAGCTTCTTAATTAACAAGTTAAACTTCCAGCTGTACACTTAGAACATCTATTACAGTAGCATCCTGCATCAAATGAAACTTTCGATTTGTAATCACAGCAGTAAGCAGAAAATGAATGTGATTATATGAATGTTTCAAATGGCGCTGAAGATTATAAAGCTGAGTATTTGTATGAAGAATATTTACATCCAAAAAAAGACAGTGATAATATGAGCAAGAGAAAAAGAAAGAGAAATCCTGAAAAACAGTATTAATTAGATGGAAGAGCTTCTGTGAAAATTCTGTTTCAGATAATTATAAGTCATTTACAAAATGTAGTAGAAACAGACTGATGAATGCGAGCGTGAATAAGGAAGACGAAAATTATAAGTTACATAGTTGAATAATGAATAAACCAAAATTTCATTGGAATTGTCTTTTCTATTAAGTATGATTTTAAATTGCCGCATGCGTTTAATCATATTTCCCTTACATTTTTACTACGTATAGTTATATATACTGCGATAAAAAAAAAAGAATAATTCCTATCAATTTGGGTTACCTATTCATTATTCAGTTTCATTCTTTCATTCTCAAGCTTGTCTCGTCTCGATCTCGTCGCAATGAAAAGAAGCGTAACACGTACAGAATCTAGCCCTAGCTAGCTGTTCGGATCGATCGAACGCATACACCACCTTCTCTCTCTCTCTCTCTCTCCCTCTCTCGTGGCTTGCGCGCGCGCGAGATAAGAGAGATGTGGCTGTACGTGGTATGTAGTCAGAAGAGCGCGTGCGGCTTTCCGGCAATCATTTATCAGTTACGCGTATTCATCATATATGGCCAGCCCCATCTCGTGTGCGCGAAATTGGAAACACGCGCCAACAAATCGAGCGATTCGCGGAAGTTCCCAGGCTCCGCGTGTACGCATATCAACACGCAGAGGTCGGCCGAGAGAGAGAGAGAGAGAGAGAGAGAGAGAGAGAGAGAGAGCAAAAATGAAGAGCACGACGATGTGAACGAGAACCGGGTGCAGCCGTATCGCGTCGAGAAAACTGGAAGCAAAGGGGAATGAAAGGAAAAGAAATATTATGTAATGATCGTTTGGAAAATCTTTTGATATGAAGAGGGCACGAGAGTTTTCATGCCGGCTGCCTTGTCCTAATTGGTACGTGGGCAGTCTTATTATTAATTTTAGTTTTGATTGATGGTTGGCTAAAATTAATTTATACTTGTGAAATCATAAAATCGAGACCTATTTAATATTGTTTATACAATTGTTCATCGATTCTCGTAATATAAAATTCGCTTTAAGTAAGGTAGAAATCATAGTACAGAAAAAAGGAGACGACAAGTAACGTAGCTGGCCTCTATTATATACATTTAAATATCAGCCCAAATCCGTATAAATAAAAGGCAAAGGAAGTGGAATCTCCTCGCAGCCCGGCATCACCAAAACAAGGCATAGCTTTAATTACTACATGGAAGCCTGCCCGCAGCACAATGGTCGCTCGCGTTTCGGTAACCGTATGTCGCGGATGCTGCTCGGCGTAGCAAGGGATCACTGCTTCACTCACATGTCCCGCGCGTCGGTTCGGCCGGCCGTGTATATATCACGCATCCACCGCGCGGCCTCGGAACTCGGAAGAAGAAGAAGAAGAAGAAGAAGAAGAAGAAAGAAAAGAAGAAGAAAGAGAGCGCAAAAGAGGTCTCGGGGATGGAGAGGGACGCAAGTATAAGTTGGCTTTGGCGAGTGTGGGAACACAGGCGGGTAGCATTTAATCAGAGAGAGAGAGAGAGAGAGAGAGAGAGAGAGAGAGAGAGAGAGAGAGAGAGAGAGAGAGAGAGAGAGATGCGCGTTGGTTAGTTTTTGCTTGGGCGGTTGTCTGGAAATTGGCGCCAA